AAAGAGCGTTTAGAGTATTCGCTTCCCGCATCGTTCAGTTCTTGGATTCAAATTATGTGAAATGCGTTCGAAAACGCATAACCGCAACGATTTAGTACCCTACCGCGAAGCAGAATCTCAGTTTCAGGCGTGTCTGACCAGGGACGGTCAGTTTCTACCGGGAACGGACACTTTCTCGACGCGAGTGAATCTTTGATTTCTTATAGAAATGTCTTGACTCAAAATTGCATCTGGAAAACGAATACTTGAAAACGTGTGACATATTCAAAATTGAATATATCATGCGTACATAATGATACGTGATCTAGGTTATTATTTTGATAATAAAAAGTGATATTAAATTTTTTGTTTCAAAAAGACAGACGCAATAACACAAACCTACTTTTGAAGCATAGTATAAAAGGATCGTCAACTGTCAGACACTGGTCTTCAATTGAGAGAACCTAGAAACTATGTATTTCGTACTTTTGTTGCTACTACTGTAAACCTCAGATAATGGGTTAAAGGAAGACAGCGAAGCATCATTCAGGATTTCTAATTCAGCTAAGTTCTGATTTTCTTCTTAAGTTAAAGTTTTTCAGTTTTGAGCTCCGTATGAGTTTGTCCTCTTTATCTCTAGCCTCCATAGTTTAACTTTACAAATTCCTCTAGAATTATAAAAGTTTTCGAGAAATCAGTACTTTTAACGACTCTTTGCTTTGTGCCAAACGTCAAAGAAATTTGTGCGGATCAATTCGGAATGCGCTTCGAGAGAAGAGATACGGTCCTCGTAATATCGTTCTTCCTTCGTCACCTTTCTGTTTGTTTTCTTTCCTGCCGAAACACGACGCGTTCGAGCTGCTTCTGCAATGCTCCAGGCTGCCAAGGGGTGCGTGGGCGCGACGTCTCAGCCGCAGGAAACAACATCAAACTTTTATGTCACGGAGGCGAAATCATAAATAATAATCGCCGGATTGTCGGCGATGCACGCCGCTTACGTGTACGCGGCTTGGCGAAATGTTGTCGACAAATTAATTCTGCCAGACTGGCCGGTGCTAGCGCCACGAAATACGAAGCCCGATGAATAACGAACGGTGTCGCATGTCAGACCGAATGAAAGTAACATACATCGAAAACGATTAAGCGCAGGAACGAATACCAGCGACCTTATATCGCTTTACCACCTTTCACCGAACCTTTTCACCCTCCTTTCCCTCGACCATTGTTCATCCTCCAATTTGCTTGCAATTTACTCCTGGACATTCGTTGTTTTATTTATTAAACGAATAAATAGTCGTTATTATACACAGTACACAGTCCATAGGAATTGTACGATATGAAAAATACATTATAAGAGTTCAAACGAAAAATGAAGCACGGAGATTCGAAAAGCCACGATCCTCGGATCCACAGTCGACCGCTTTTCCTACACGACCAATCACGCACCTTACGATTCGCGTTCTTCTTTGACTCCTTATTGCTGGATATGGGGGGCGCGACACTACGCTATATTTAATCCCCGATTATAGCATTCGGACGCGTCGAATTGCAACGATAAACGAAAGAAGACGCGATGTCATTCCATTGAAAACTCGCAAAGGCGATCTCTTACACGTGGAGCAATATTTTCACGCCGTGCAATTTATCTCCGACGACACGGCGCTTAAAGCGACACGCGTCATAATTAAATGCTGGCACCTCTTGGCCCCCTTATCGGCACGAATGATCGCGTTTCGCACGGCGGCTCGTGCAACACGAAGTGACACGGATCGATCCATTCGGAGGACCTCCGTTTGTTCCTCTTTTCATTCTTCAAGAAGAGGGTGGCACCAAGACTGAAAGGTAATTCTTAAGTTTTTTCATAGAGAAAGTAAGTAAAAGTCAGCATGACAAGAATTTTTCTATAGTCTAAAGTAACTAGACAAGATAGGTTGAACAACACGTAACAGGAACGAGGCCTATTTGAGTAACAAGTGGCGATCGGTCGCACGTGTTACATGACCGGTGTTTACCACGGTGCAGGAAAGCACAAGTGGCTCTGAGAGTTTAGTGATTATCTACGATCAAAGAAGACCGGAACCAAGGTCAACGGCGGAGACTGAATGTTAATTTAAATCACTCTTTGGAAGTTATTAAATGTAGTTTGTGTTTAACTGGAAAATCTGGAAAGTTCACGTCAATTTTTGGTAGATGGTACAGGTTTGGTACAATTTCTTCAACAAATGTAGAAGGTACGAATATTTATGGGACTGACTGTATACATATATTAAAATTCAAATGTGCCTTCGAATTTTTTTTAAAAATTGTTACGAACTTTCTGGACAACCTAATAGAGAGCACAGACGATGTTTGGACTGCACGAGATTTTCGTCGAAGGTGAAGCGGTCTCCTGAAAATGCGAGACGCGATATATGGCGTTGCATCCAGCGAGCATACGGCCCTGGAGGCGCACTTATGGTACACGTAGGTGAATGTCGGGAGAGAAACCATACCGGCAAGGACGACGGAGCGAGAGGCGGAGGGTGAAAGGGAAAGAGAAAAAGAAGGAAAGGGAGACGAACCACGCCCGGCTCATCCCGACTTTCTAGAAACCGAAAACTGGATCGTGGCTGGTAGCGTGGATCTTGGCCGATCTCGAGCGACGTCGGTCCGGCTTGATTCACGTAACAGATGTCAGTCCTTAAGGATCGTGCTCCGCCTCTCCTTCTTCTTATTTGAACTGCCGTTCCACGGAACCAGCTACCGTTTCCCGAGGACATTACTCACGAAGTCGCTCGGTGAAACTCCACCTTTCGGGAGATAAAGCGCTGTCTCGGGCTCGCTCGAGGGAAACGAAATTCCGAGAAGCTCGCCGCTCCGCGATTAAGTTACCGGAAATATCCGAAGGGACGTCCAGGGGTACCGCTGCGTGTTCGTTAAAACGAACGACGAATCGAATTCGCGATGGAAAATATTCCTAGGCGAGGCACGCTTTAGATCGCGTTATCTAAAGTGGACGCTGTTACGTCGACGCGCTGTTTTCCCGGAAAAATCTGATTAGGACACGCGAGTTTCTCCTCACCGATCGGGCTATCGAACGGGAACAAGGGAAAGTACGATATGTAAATCGAACTTAATCAACCGTATCTGCGTGGACGGATGAGACAGTGTCTATCGCTTTCGAGAGAGAAACAGCGGCGCGTCTGTTTCTTATCGGTGGCGATTTAACAATGAATACTGGAATTTTATCGAACTGGTTCCAGCAAGCAGCTATAAACGTTTCCTCGTTCGAGAATTTATCTCGATATCGGTTAACGACTGGGGAAACGAGCCGCGCGACTCGTACAGATCGTCAAGAGCATCGCGATAGATAGTATCGCTGCGTTTGGAACGCTCTGTATACTTTCGATTCCAGTCAGACACCACCCAGTCGTCTTCGCATTCTCCGCACTCGCAATTAACGCTTTTCACTATTGCCGGTCGCGAGCTTCTTGCTTTTGCTCCTTTTACGCTGGAACGGGGTTCTTGCTTCTCTGTCGTTCCTCTTTTTTCCCCTCTGCTCCCCACCTCGCCGTTCCGCGAGCCACAGCCCCGGTCCCTTCCCCGAGCTCCTGTCAACGTCGCGAGCGGTTTTCTCTTTCATTGGAACCGGACAACCAGCTGCGAATTAGCTTCCTCGGTAACTGGATCAATTCCCGTGAAACGACGTCGGCTCGAACCGCACAGTCGATCTCGAATCGAGCGGAGCTTCCTCGATGACAAAATACGATCGCAAAAAGGAGAACTCGGATCAAGGGATGCTCGGAGATATTCGCGGTGCACGGTGGTCGCGCTGCGGTGGAGACTTTAACGCGCGCATAAGTAACGCTTAACGCGGTGATTTCGATGCTCGGTGAGACGGGCGTTAACGCCACGGTTCGCGTAACTTCTCGAAATTGCTGTCGCGCTGCGATTGAATTATTCGATAGAGTTCAATTCTCTGGGCGCAGTTTGATTGCGAAATCAATCGAAGAATAGGCGACTTTCGCGTGGAAAGGCCTCAAGGATGGGACGGTTTCAATGAAAAGGAACGAAGGCGTTCGCAAAAATTATGCAAACAGATCTCCTCGGGGATCGTACCTCTTTCATAAGCACGAAACGCGATTCATTGATCAAGTTGGGATTGGTAGCACGCGCCAGGAGAAAGGGACTCTCGAATCGACAGCTTAAAATATTCATGTTTTACATGAATAAACTTCACACATATATATATATATACAATAACATAATTATTTTGAAACATGTAGCATTCATTTAAATTAGACAAATTTTTTCAATAAATATAGAGGGTACGAATACTTATTGGATTGACAGTATGTATACCCTTGCCACGCGTTCGGTGGTTTCGATGATATTATCGTTCGATCTAGCGTCGAGATGTAATAAATGCGAGAAGCTCGGGAGGTCGAGAAATCGTTTTTTGCGGATTCTAAAATCACCCGTATCCGCCGCCTCCAGCCAAAGGAACATTTATCACCTCGCGGTTGACGCTTGATCCATCGAGCATCCGTTTCTCTCGACTCCTCGTTCTCACTCCGATTTACGGGGATACACCGCCTAACCGAATCGAAAGGAGATCCTTTCGCTGATGTTTCCAAATCGTCATTCTTCAGCGGCTCTAATCCGATCGTCCGTTCGTCGCTTCCTTTGCCGCGGGTTCATCCTGTCGGATTAGAAAATGAAATTACATCTAAGACGTTGGTAAACTCTCGAAACTCCAAGTGAATTTCTAATCGTACCATTCGTTATAAAAATGGTGTGAGCTCAGAATCCTCTACGAATTTCCGCAAGTAATGATTGTTTTGTTTCTTTCTTTATTTTGTAATGGTGCATAATCTGTTTTCCATGTGCGAAATAGGAACAGATACGATATTTCCAAGTACCAGCGGCGTATTGCACTATATCTTCGAAACGTTTTAAACGAGTATATTTCGCGACATTAACGCGAATCGAGAACAATTTAGCCGTTTAAAATGAAAGAACGTCTGCTGTTTCGATTCCAGGTTACCCCGAGCGACGAGCAGGAGCAAGAACGCGGGTGACAGAGGCGGTGTGATGAGCGGATATCTCGGTAGCGTCACCCTGCCCCCGACGTTGCTGCACGACCCGAAGTATCCTCCAGCCATGCGGGAGAAGGACTCGAGTCCAAGGAAAATGCCGGGCCACATTAGCCCGAAGCAAGCCAGCATATACCCGCTGAGCGTCCGCGTGCCGGACGTCGAAGAGCTGCCCTACGACTTGAGCCACGGACACGGTCGCGGCCTCTCGAGTCCCTCGAATCAACAGCAGCACCAGCAACAGCCCCACATGAGTCCCGCGGCCAGACCGCCCCAGCCGCACCACCAGGACGACCTGGAGTGCGAGCCGCTCGATCTACGCGTCGATCGCAAAAAGGAGAGACTCAGAGACGAGAATCAGAACGAGATAGAGGTGCTCAATCAGAACAGCCTCGGTAGCGCTCTTCCTTATCACACGGTACTGTTCCCTCAACACCACGCGGTCCACCCGTTGGTCCTCGAAGCCATGTACAGGTCGCACCATCACGGTTCACCGGTCCCGGAACTACCCAAGATTCAAGTCAGAGCCTTGCCTACCATGGTACCGTTGCCTCCTAACAGATTCTCCTCCACGACCTCGACCACCTCGTCTTCCTCCTCTTCGCAGCCCGCGGCGAGAATACCGAGTCCTGCCAGCGGTCAACAGCAGCAAAGCCATCCGAGTCAACAACAGCACCAACAGAGCCACCCGAGTCAGCAACAGCAGCATCAGCAGCAGCAACAGCAACAACAACCACAACAACAACAAACCTCCTCCAGTCTTCCACCCTACTCCATCAACGTCCAAGCAGGTCTAAAACCCAAGGACAGATACTCGTGTAAGTTCTGCGGCAAGGTGTTTCCTAGATCCGCCAACCTGACGCGGCACCTGAGAACGCACACGGGCGAACAACCATACAAGTGTAAATACTGCGAGAGGAGCTTCAGCATCTCTAGCAACCTTCAGCGTCACGTGCGGAATATCCACAACAAGGAGAAACCGTTCAAGTGTCCCTTGTGTGAGAGATGCTTTGGCCAACAGACCAACCTGGACAGACACCTGAAGAAACACGACGCGGACGGGCCGACGATACTGGACGAGGTCAGGTCGAGGTACCACGGCCAACTTCCCAGGGCGGACGAGTCCTATTTCGAAGAGATCCGCAGCTTCATGGGGAAGATCACCTCGCAAAGACAGGGGATACCTTATTTCTCCGGACTCCTGGGCCACGGACCGGACGACTTCAGGAGCGACAAGCAACAGCTTCAGCTCGAAGAGAAGAGGGGCGACTCTTCGTACTTCAGCGATCGGGACAATCTCAGCTCGAGGTCGAGCAGCACCACCAGCAGACCGGAGAGCGTTCAGGAGGAACAAAGGGAGGTCAATTCCCCACCCCTGTCGCCTGGGAACAACACTTGAGCCCGAAGACACGATCGCGGGTCCGACGAGTACTCGAAGGACGCGCGATTAGTTCAGAGGTCGAAGTGTCCCTGGGACGCGCTACGATTCCAAGGGATTCAAACCTTGGCGAGTCCGGGGTGAGAGGCCCCAATCGTCGTTATCGATTAACTAGACGCATAGTTCGGTTAGGCAGGTCCACTTGAACTGCCTTCGGCGGTAAGATTAGACTTAGGTACGATTAGTCGTCCTTTGTTCGTTGCGAAGCGAGCTATTAACACGTTCCGTGCCGCGTGGGGCGTACGCGCCATGCGTTGAACTTTCCGTTCGAGCCATTAGATATTGTATTTGTTCAATTAATACCTAGAAAAATAAATTTATTGCTTTGTTATGTATCTTACAATGTACACCTTGCCAGAAACAAAACTATACAATTGTAAAGCCTGAACGAAAAGTTTTCAAGAAACAGTCTGGCATGGAACGTGTTAACCCCTTAAGCTACAACCACGTGCGAGATACGTGATCGGATATTCGGGTCAAAACTGATTGTTACGAGCCTGGTCCGTGGTGTATCGTTCGGGTCAAATGTAAACATCACATTTTGGTCCCAGTCTGCTGGAGCTTAAATCGTAGCTTAAGGGGTAAATATGGACTCTTGCTCTGTCTGTACCGTCGGACAGCCTTGGAACTTTAACTTTAAGGTTCTGCGTGAATATTTAAGTTCACTGCGAGAATTCTCCGTCGCTGCTCAAAGACCAACAGGTGCCTTAAAAGAGTACCTGCGTGAACTGCTCTCTAGAAGATCGGGTCGAGCATCTAGATTAAGTAGAGGATAAAATTCGTCCTAAGTACCAACACTTTTCATTACTTTCGAGTACCCGTGCACGGGTCAGCGAGGAGAAAGACTAAGAAACAACGCGCGATTCCGTCGCTGTAAATTTAGAATATAACTTTGCTCTTGTTCGGTTATCAATCTCAAAATTAGTTAACCCTTGGAAGCCTGATACACCAAATTAAATTTAAAAAAATATCAATGTATTTATTGTTTGAATATTGACAGCTGACATTTATTTTTTTAACTTTTGATCAAAAGAACATTGTGTAATGGTAACATACACACATCCAAATATTAAAAAACAAACCAATTGCAAGTATACAATTCGATTTAAAAGTCCGGTATCAAATTTGAAACTTAGGCCATTCAAGGGTTAAAATATTGTCCTTTCGCGATCTTCGAAAACGGTTCCATTTCTCTCGTTCTCGTCGACGTCTTCCGTCCAGCAAAAAGAAGATATAACCGACACAGAAAAACTGCAAGCAAGAAAGACGATGTTTCAGCAAGAAAATGACATTTCTCGACTTTACGAGCTAGAAAGTGAATTTTGTTAGCTCGACTACGTCTCCTCGGTCCGCAATTCCCAGTACTATAGTCCGACGAACACGCTAAAATAGAAATCATCGAATCGATCTGCTCGGTTCTCGAAACTTTTGCCGGAAGTGACAGGGAAATTCGGCACTTCTTTTTTGAAACAAAATTAATTTTTATTTATATGTTTGGATGATTTCAGTCTTACTGAATTCAACCTTCACAGTTACGAAAACCTAATAATGGAACTAATATATCGGTCGCTTTTGACCCGACCGTAGGAGAGGAGGGTTAATAATGTAGTTTTCGATGAAAACTGGTCTCTCGTAGTGTGCACAAATAAGGACATCCGCCCTAAACGATAGTGTCGATAATTTTTAAATTTTGTGTCCTCAATTGTGGGCGCCAGATCTGAAAGGGATAAACAATAAGCACGAGTCTGACTCGTGGTATTTCGTTTGGACTTCCTACTTTCCTGTTTACTGTGGCCCGAGCAATCGAGAGATAATGTGTAGGTCAAGGGGTTAATAAAATTACCTCTTCCCTATAAAAAATGAACAAAATTAAATAAGTATAAGTAATGCTTCAGGATTTGGAAAAAAAGATCTCCGAACTCGAATAGCATCGAGTTGCTACGCCCAGGTGATGTACGTGACGCGGAAAAGCGACGTGTTTCCTGCCGGCGATGATTAGCAGAAAAAGAAGAAACGACCGAGAGAAGAGGCTGCTAGAAGCCTAAAGCGCTGTCAGCAATCCCACACGCTTACGATATGATCCCCCTCGTTTCCTGCGGACGGTCGCTGAAATCTTTACCCGGGGCGAAACGATCTAATCGTCTTCCGCTCTTGACTCCGCGGCTGCGAATCATACCGTCCACTTTCTAACCGTTCAGCTACCAACCAACATCGACGCGAATGAGTGGGAGGTGCTTCGACCTTGGTGGTAAGTGGCTCGCTTCGATTAATTACGCCAGATCTGATTCGAACGGGCAGAAGCACAGGCTTCGGCCGTTGAAAATCCAGGAAACGACAACCAGCACTCGAGAATCGGTTTGTCAGCCCTAGTATCCCTGTTATTCCAAATCTATACGGTACGTAGACGAACATTGATCATTGTAATGGAAGATAGGAGAGAAAAATACAGGGAAAAGTAAAAAAGAGTGGAAGATACGAATTCCTGTTCGACGATGAGAGCAATTCATCCGCACTTTCTACCTTGCATCAACATTCACCGCAAGTAGCGCAGGTGCGGATCCAGTGTATGCATCGAGCCACGCGGTCAGGAGATCTTCTTGACCTTGGTAAACGCGATCGACCAGTCACGAGACGAAAGCACGCTCGAAGAAAGATTGAATGTCTTCATCCTCGGGAGGGTGTGTTGCGCCCGGATGAAAATACGACTGCAAACGGTGGTCCGGCAACGCGTGAGAAACGACGAACGCTTTCTAGCTTGGAATGCCAGCGCTCTGCTAAACGACTGGAGACGCCGGTCGCCTGGAACGCGAACGAAAAGTCCTTCGACTTCGAAATAAAACGAAACAGAAACGATTCGAAACTCGCCACGAGGAATAAGATAAAAATCGCGGAATTCGTAAAAATGGAAAAACGATGCCGATGACCAGCTCGGGTTTCGATATGAAGTTGCAACTGCAACGCGCGTCCGATTACGTATTCCGTTCGGCGTTGAATAAGAAGCGACGCTCGCGAGAGAAGGCGAAACATCAAAATTTATTTTGCGACTCGGGGCTGACGAACGGGACGAAACCGCTCCAAGCATGATTCCTCGAAGCTGAGAAATGGTCAGTCTTTATTTCTGTCGACGAATCAGCATGCGCATCGGAAATGGCAGAATTCGAGTCTTCAAAATCCATTTAAAGGAGATCGACGCGGTGCGACGCGATAGGATGCGACGCATTCGCTTTGGACAGACTCGTCGACGCTCCGCTCGAAGGTGTTGCGACTAATCGTAAGCTTCTACGGTGCGGAGATCTCTCCTCGACGTCTGACGCCGGGAGAGGATGGCAGGCCCTGTTTTTCTTGCTTCACGCGTATACGATCACGGCCGACGATGGCCTCGGACCTCTCTTGCGTTACACTTTTGCCACGCCCCGATCGAACGGGCAAGCTCATCGCGAAAGTGAAACGCAATAAAGGAGCCACGCCGAGGCGAGAGAGCGATCTCGACAACCATGAAACGCTAACGGAGAAGTACCACCCGACAGAAGGAGAGATCCGATCGATCGAGACCTCGAGGCTTGGAAATCGGTTTCCTCACAGTCGACGATCCGCGCGCGAATGTGTTTTCGTCCGAAATCCTCCGGTTCGACGTCGTTGAACCATCGATCCTACCCTCGATGCGGAACATCTCGCGTATTCTCCCCTCGAAAACACAAGAGATCGCGCCTCGTTGCGAAACCCTTAAATCAACGCGTAAAACTTAATCGTTGAAAACGAGATGACTCTGGAGAATAGATCTGATCCGATAAAAAACGGAGCTCTGGCTTAAAATTTGAATTTAATAAGTTTAATGTCACCCAGAAATGAATGACAGGATTCTCCATTACAGATAATAAATCTGAAAATAAATCTAAGGAAATAATCTGTGTAGGATTCGTGAATTTGGTATGGTTAAGAAATTAAATACTACGACAAATGTTGAATTACCTAAACTGCTAATCTTCGATAACATCGAGACACGATTTTAATTTTGATAACAACAGTAATATACAGAGAAGAGGGAAAGAAAACAGTATAATGCGAGAAACGCATGAAGAGAGGATACGTGTGATAGAGTTAAAGAATAATTCTTCCACTAGGGGGTAAAATAAATCCTCAGTTAGTCTGCATTCAGATATCCGCTAATATCAACAGAATCGTTGATAAATAGGTTAAAAGACAGCGTACCCGAATCGAACTCTTGAGGAACGCATGAGCAAGCAGTAATCTCTTTGGAGTAACAATCATAAAATTTTACGATCCGAGTTCACCCAGGTATAAAACCAGATAACCAGGAGAAGAAAGTTGCATGCATACCAGGGTTTTAAAGTTTCTGTAAAAGAACGAAATTTTTCACAGAGTTGAAACCTTCGCGACAATCACTGTACATGATGTCTACTTGACAGCCTTCTTCCATATCGAGTAAACTAACCAGATACAAAAGCATCTTGCGAAGATTGGTAGAGATATTAACAGGTAATCTAAACTCACCCCTGATGCATTGGATTGTCCAGAAAGTTCGCGCCAATTTTTAAGAAAAACTCACTTGATACCCCAAATGTGGTATAAACAAATAGAAAACTGATTCGTAGGGGTATCTACGACATTTTCTAAAAGCATTCAGCGAATCGTGCCTGCGAGAGTGTTCCCACAGGTGCGCCGATATGATAGGCGTCATCGTTTGACATGAAAAATGTCGCGTCTCAGTCGCGAGCGATGGCTGCCAGTTTCCACGCTAGGCATTCCCTCGACCAGTTCCTCGACGAAGAAATAAGCCGCGAAATCTCTCGAGGGACGAGTCTCTCTATCCGCGAAATCGCGCGTGCCGCGTTCTCACGTCCGCGCGTTTTCGATCTCATCTCGTTCCAGTTTACACGTTACACGCATGATTTCACTGGTTGCGGGGACAGGTCGAGCGTATTCGAATTGCGACGGCCTGCTAGAAAAAAAGAAAAGGAAGAAAAAGAAGAATGAAAAGGAGACGAAAATGAAAAGAAATGAGACTTTGAATAGGAAATTCTGTTTCATCGTCGGGTACGTTAGACGAATGTTGCGTTCTTTCTTGCCTTTCTTAGATTTCGCCGTCGAATTCGACGGCTACCCGTTTTATTATTCCTAGCGTCGCGTTGGCACGTACGAAACGTCGTTTTCTCGTGGAGATTCGCAGGACCTTCGATTGAACACGTGGAAGTAAGAGATGACTTTGTAGTCTGAATTTTTGACACTTCAACGCCATAATATTATACAGTAAGAGTTTAACCCTTTCAGACGTAGCGTCCACAATTAATTATTGTTTAGGGCGAATGTCCATATTTGTGCACACGAAGAAATACCAATTTTCCTCAAAAATTACATTATTACGATTCTTTTTTTATTTTTTCCATATTAATTATTAATATGGAAAATCCAAGTTATCTCTAAAAACTAAATTCCATTAGTACGAGAAAACAAAGTAATTCAGATCTGAAAAGGTTAAGTATGCAGTCGAAAAGTAAATAGCTTTACTGCTGTTTCTTATATCCAACTAAAGTGTTGTTTCATTTAGATTATTTCAAGATCTTTTGTCCCATTCAAACATCTCAACTCTATGAATATAGAAGGGTGCTACCGAGGATTCGATCGAACACGAATATTAATATTTATGGACCGCATCGAGGTGCCATTTAACTCGCGTTGTTTTTGTTACAGTATCGCAACTTCGTATACATAAACGACATTCCCTACGCGCCAACCCAACGCATACGGTTTCAGCGGCAGCGACGCGTCGTCGCCTTGCGAATAACGTTAAGCGAACCAGAATTATTAATTATAGTATAATATATACACATGTACACGCGTGTACCTATAGCTGCTAGAATTTGAATCGAGGCTCAATTTAGTTAGTCGAAGTCGTTGTAAAAATATTAGTTCCCCGCGCGTCGACGAGACCATTGCTAATTTTGCAAAACGAGGAAATGGAACGGTACGTTTCGAGGATTAACAAACTTTCGCGATATCTTCGAACTCGTCGATGCGCGATACAAACGGCAGCTAATTATCCAGGATGGTGCGCATGCTGCCCTTTTTAGGTGAAATCTGTTTCCTGTTGGTATTATACATACGATTCAAAGTGTTGTATAGTCTGTAACAAGGTACGTTGTTTTAATTTAACGAAGAAAAACAAGGATGCCACAGAAGAGTCGTTGAAATATCATCTTTCTCAAATATTCGAAAATATGAAATGAGACGAACAAACTAAGAAGGGCAGCGACATTTCGGCGAAACTCGTTTCAACCCTTTGCACTCCAAATTTGTTTATTTCGGTACATTTTCGTCGAGCATCGCTCGATGTAGGATCACAAAGGGTTAAAATGCACGCGTGCCCAACGCAACGGATACTATCGGATCCCGATTGAAACGAGGGCGAGAGAAGGGCGATGGACGTCTCCTCCCCCGTAAAGTAATAGTCAACCGCGTGCGAAGTGTACCAAGCGAACTGTAAAGAATACGTTTAATTTTGATATATAGTATATACGAATATATATATATACATACAAATGATATAGATATAATATATATATATGTATATGTATATGTACATGGAAAACGTACCACGATTGTGATTTCACCGAGGTTACCGAGTTATACGTATTTACTGTTTAGCCACGAAAATGCAGCGCCGTGAGCCGACGAAGCTGTCAAGCGCTCGTTACCTTTTAGAACCGCTAGATCGTAAGCCGTGCGTTCAGGTGGGTCCAAGCTCAGTTCAGCTCGTAGAGAGTTCTTAATCGTACGTTAACAAGTTAGTCAAAATAATCGACGGGGATGCGAGCGGCTCGCGAATGAAAACGAAAACGACCAACGCGTGTAGCTTTCATCGCGGGAATCGCCCCCTCCCTTTTCACTCTTTCCTTTCGAACGATCACGCGTGTTGAGATTATGGCGTACAAAAAACGCATTCGCGCGATTGCCGGTGATCTTGTCGCGATGACAAGGTTCGTTCTTTTCGTGGACGATCGATCGTTCGTCGCTCCTACTTTTTACACGTTAATACTGTTCAGCCACGTAAGTAGTCCCGCGTCCCGTAGCATAGTGGTGACTGTATATATGTTCATATGTAACATTCGATTAAAGAGAAACAATATTATATATATACATACGTTAGGGTGGTCCTCGCGCTTCGGCTTTGAAGTTGCTTCGGAGGAACCCTAAAAATAAATTTCTATCACCTGCGGTCGAGGACCACCCTAATGTATGTACGTATATGTATGAGTGTGGCTGTGCGCGAGAGGGTGTGTGTGTGTGTGTGTATTTGTATGTACACGAACAAACGTACACGTGAAAATTCATTTTAAAGGAACTTTCGTCTCGTGCTTGCGTTTACTTTCTCCGCTCTCCTGCCGCGTACCTTCCATGTCCCTTCCCCGTGTGGCCCCATAAATGACCCACACACGGTCGATAGTTTACCAGAGGTTTGTCCGTGAGTTTGATGGACTGCTCTTCCCGCGAATATCGCGAAGGCGTCTTTCTTTCAAGGATCTTTTGCAGAGCGAAAAGATACTCTGATAAACGTCAGTCGTGCATGGGTCGCTTTAGTGTTTCGTTAAAGGGATTTACTTTTTTCGAATTTCTTTGATGAATCGATTCTCATGCGCTCGATATTCCAAAGTATACAATCAGTCCCGTAAGTATTCGTACCGTAAGTACTCGTACCTTCTATATTCATTGAAGAAGTTTGTCTAACTTCTTCACCGATAATACAGACATGGGAGATATACGTATTTATAATGGAACATCGATTTGGAAAGGCCAAACCTATCATTTAATTTAGACAAACTTCTTCAATAAACTCAGAGGCTAGGGATGCTTATGGGAATGATTTTATTAGACTAATTCGCTTAAAAATTTCAGGAAGGTCGATTTCATGTTTTAGGTAAGCAAGGGATTTCACTTTGTTTTCTTTGAACAGATGAAGTATATATATACTTCAAGGAAGTCAAGGACGAAATGCAGTCGTACATAGTATTAAGTAAACGAATGTATAGTTGAGAAATGTCAAGTTCAATAATTCCGAAATCTTCTCTACGTCATCTGCATATTCCAAGTCAAGTCACCTTTAACTACCAATGATGATCATCGATCTGGCTAAGTTCTATCGAAAGTACAACGATATCCTGACACAAATACCATCATTTCGACCTACTTCTTGAAAGATGGCCCTGTTTCCAGAAAACAAACGTTTCTTTCCCCTCCTGGAGAACGCGTTCGTAATTAACGCGAGAAACGCTAGGTTGTCAAGGGTCATAGGTGTGTGAGAACCGGAACACGCGATAGGTGAGACGAAGACGTGACCAAGTGGACAAATAGCCAGTCAAGATGCCACCGGAACGCGCAGGACGATTTCGATTAAATCGTATTCCGCGACCACGCATTTTTTTGCTCCTCTATATCGATGGCATCGATCGTATCCGTATTCAGATCAACAGATTTACAAACATCAAACGCTTCTTTTTTTCTGGTCAATATCAGACGTGAATATTCATGGAAGTTATGCAAACATGTTGATGCAATTTTTATTAGAACTGTGATCTTCGACACTGTCCATCTTGGAAAATTAGAGATTATGAAATCTTGTTTAATTTTTAAGTCGTCAACGGGATTCGAGAGTAATGGATTACCCTTCCAGGAGATGAGAGAATCGAGAAGACTCGCGGGTCGTTTAACGTTCCCCGCGGTTTCTTTGCTCGTGAAACAATACCGATCCATAAATAAAGACTCACTCATCTCAGCCAAACTTGGCCTGGAGGTGATCGTATACAGTGAACGAACAGGGAGACTAGGCCGCCTCGAGCAAAGTGGCTTCTTGGCCTTGCCGAGGACGTGACTTTGACCCGGATAGCGACACTATAACAAACAGTCTGACGGATACAAATACACGTTGTTTGTTTAAAAATCACACTGCGCTTCCGGACATAGGAAGCTTCAAAAAATAACTTCGATACTGTTTAACGTGTAAAGTATATTTCCATTGCCACGCAAGGTATCCTATCACAGACTAAATATTTAAGCTACTGTGAATAGTCACTAGAAATGTTTCTTGCAAAACTGAGTCCATTTTTTAATATAAAAATTAAATACTATAATATATCGAGAATGAAAGTATTTTTTTTTACTTAACTTCGTTAGCTATAACGAGGAATTTATATTTTAATTAAAATAGCAAAAATATGAAATTGGTCTGCCTTCACTGGACACTGTATACGAGTGTACATTCTTATTACACCCTGTAATAACTCCAAAGGGAAAGGGTACTATGGAATATTTCAAGTACGCAACTATTTCATCGCTGCTCTCGTATCTAGAAATTCGTTTAATATCCAAATATTAATGCACGATTCTATTTGTCCGTATCGTGTACGCGGAATATCGTCATCACGGCAACCTTGGCGACGATGACGATAATGGTCCGTCACGTGTAACCTTAGCCGTTCAGTGAATCACTGGCAATGAACATCATCTTCGCCAAGATTGACAACAAATTACCTGTTTAAGGAATTTCTAAATTAGTCCGCGAAGAGCAGCACACGTGCGTTCATTTGAAACACCACCAAATCGGTCGATAGATTAGCTCAGTCTCGTCGATCATTTTCTTTACTTCTTTTTTTTTTTTTTATTACACAAAGGTTTCGTCGCGACTTCGACGAGTAACCACAATTACCTTACAATATAAATATAAACATAATTGCATCTCAAACGGTCGTCGAGAATAAAAATAGTAGAAGTAATTTCTTAATCCTAATTCATAACCCCGTGCAAGTCTTTCGCACATTTATTTACAATGGATTCGACATCCACGCGTACAAAAGATCCTGATAAAAGTACGTAGAAAAATATGATTCCACATTTTCAGCTGCTTCGTGCCGATAAAGTGCTGCAACATCTCACAATAGTATTGAATATAACAAAAAGAAAAAAGAAATACTGGTATTATTACTTCCATGGAACCGATTCCAGCATCCACTGCTGATCGACGTCCTTCGTGCAGACAGCAATCACAGGACTCTCGCCGTTGCTCGATTGCAGACACATGCCAGAAGAAACGTGCAAAAATACTTTCGTCTGAAGGGAAACCGATCTGTTATACCCATTCTTTACGCGCGTAACGTCCTAACGTATATATTCTTTAATCTAAAACTTACTCGCTCGTCGTACTCCCATTTCTGCTTCTTGTGGCCGCTGCACGCCATTATTTTAACTTTCGGCGTCTTGTGCTGAGTATCGTGTTCAGGAGCATCCAAGCAAACGCTTTCGTCGGTCATTACTATACCATCCTTCGTCATCACGAACATTTGACCGAGTATTGGTCGCGGTACGCAACCCTCGAGAACCGCGTATCCCGAGGGCTGCGAATACGTACCCTTCGCAGTGGGACGCATGATACATTTTTTGGTTGAGATGTGTACGATCTGGAAGCAACATTTCAGAGTTTGCTTGAAAACGTAACTCAACGTATGCGTCCCTTTGCGATACTATTGACACGAAACTTTTAAATCTTAACGTTAGGGCTACCAAACCAGTTGCTTTCGACTCGTTTACTTTAGACTTCTTTCTAAAATGACTGGATTACTCGCAATGTTTCTACTCGAATTTTTGATGGGAGTTCTTTGAAACGAGGATCTAGGTATACTTCAAAGCGAGTGCCAATATGTTAAAGTCATACTTACCCGACCGAAAAATCGATCGTCCGTGGGGAAAAAGTGTTCTGGCCACACGTTATCCAAATACCACTGAAAGCTCTTGCATTGCAGTTTTTTGCGTAACTTCAATCTGGATCGAACAGGCTGCTTGTATCTCAGTCTCGCCGCCTCTGTAACGAAGCAACGATGCAGAATGGACCTTGTCGGCGGGCTCTTAATTGCAATCCTGCTACCTGAATGCCCTAACTTAACAGAGCACTACAGAAAATGAGTTTTATGAGGTGAATGTAGAAAATATACTGCGATGATGGAACGCTGGGAATCACAAGCATCTCAGAGGAATAACTGGGAATGAGGGTGCAGTGGTGAAATCTCGGTGTCCCTGACCTATAGACCTCAGTTGATATCCTAATAATAATGATAATACCTGGATTAAACTTGAAATAAAATTCTGCCCAGTCGTCCATCCAGACCAGAGCCACTCGTGCAAGGTTTCCGTACAGTATTTCTCCGACACCCCCTGGAAAAGTGTACGGCGACGATTTTCTGAATAGATGCCCCACGTGGGAGCAAGGAGCGATTTCAATGCTACCCCCACACTGCCACACACGAAACGACATCTCCAAATTTTCCCCACCCCAGATCCTCATCTGGTCGTCGTAGCTTCCTAGCTCGAAGAAGTACTTCCGGTCCATGGAGAACAGACCTCCAGCCATAGCTGGCGTCCTGAACGGTTCGACGATGTTCTCGCGTCTCTCCTTCAGCAAACGACCGTTCAGCGTCAACCAGCGGAAGTGCATGTCCCAATTGAATGCTCCCCAATGCAACTCGAAAGACCTGCAATGTTGCATTTATAAATAATCATCGATCATCGAATCTGACAGCGGTACAGAGAAATAGAAATACATCATACCGAGTGTAGCTGAAAGTGTCGTCGTTTATGATATCGATAACAGGAGAAATAACTTTCGTCCTGTTCTTAGCGATCGCCTCCAGCAAAGGTTCCAACCATCCTGAAATTAGAAACAATATTTGAAACTGTATTCCACTTTTCTTCGAGGCTCGTCGCGTCCATCATAAGAAAAAGAGCTCACCTACCAACCGTGCATTCGCAATGGGCATCGAGGAACGTGAGGACTTCGCCTTTGGCTTCGTTCGCGCCCAACAGCCTCGCGTTTACCAAGCCTATGCGTTTCCTGGAACGAAGAACTTTAGTGGGCACTTGCAGGCTCCTTACATGCTCGTCTAGCGGGTCCCTCAAAAAATCTAACGGGGAAAAAAGAATATAAATTTAAGAGAGACGAAAAAAACATAGATTCGAAGAAGGCAAATGGGACTTGGAACCATCCTTTCGTCTCACCTCTGTCGCTGTCATCGTCGACGAGGATGATTTCCTCCAGCAAATCCCGCGGCGATCTATTGATGACGCTGTGCACAGTCCTGAGTAACGTACTCCAAGCTTCGTTATGGAAGACGACGATTATCGAGGTCTTTGGTAAGCTGCCCAAAGTCGAGTACCGGGAGATACATCTACGTAATCGTTTAATTAAGTCCACATGGCATCGAGAATATGTAAGCAACGCGAAAGGAAAATTACCCCTTTCTCCTGACATCCGGTAGAGTTCGATTTAGGGGGATTCTGTCGCTAGCCATCAAGTTGAATCGATTAATTTGGTAGAGTTGTTGCATATCGTGGAAGTTCTTCGCTGGCACAAGAACAGGGCTGCCGTTTTTCCCGTCGTTTGGTCGCGGATCAAACATGTTCGTATTGAGGAGTTCTATGGAGGAGTACTAGAAATGTACGCTATTTTTTAAGTACAGTGGAGCCTTCTCTACGTGAACAACCGTTACGTGAATATTTTGTTATATGAAGTGTACATTTCCTATTATAATATTGTATGTATCTAAACATTCAAGTGTTTACATGTATCCTTCTATAAGATGAAATGCATTTACGACGACGTAATATTAAATTGGCATAACAATGTCGCCAATAAAGAAACCCGTAGTATTGACAATTCAATTTGTATTGGATATTAAAACTGTGATGTAATTAAATATCAGCCTAAACTAAAATAAAAAGTCTTATTCGAAGTTGCACTCTTCCTAAATACATTACAGCTGAATGCAGTTGAAGTATTAAATAAAATCAGCTGCTAAACACTTGTCATTCTATTATGTGAAAATTCTGTTATCTAAACACCCTTGTCTCCCGAATAATTTGAATAACAGAGACTTTACTGTCTGTACCTTTAGTAATGTTTGGTGTTTTCAAAGGATCCACAGAATCCCCGATGTAATGGCCGACCACCACGTGTATTCCCCTACGATCCATGTAATCCCTGTCATTCCCTAAAAGCCTAAAATCAATGAATATTGACAACGTTTTATTGGAGAATCCGTAGAACGTTTGTACGATCAGTTTCTAGCTTGGCAGACAAGCGACCTCGCGGAGTTCAACGCGATTTATCTGGAGGTCGAGCGATACTTGGTCCTTTCGAATCGCATGTTACCATATTTGATACATTATACATGTTTACAGAACGTTTTAACGAAAAGAATTGAACGCAAAACTTCTTTCACGATCTCTTCGAGAGTACGAAAGACTCACCGCAGAGAAGCATAATCGCTGCGATCCTCGGTCTCCTGGTTCTTCCTCAACCAAACGAGAAGCATCCCCGTCAGGATGACAATCGAAAGAACCATCGGGATCATCCGATGCCTCCTCAAACGTGGCCACATGGCGATCCTCATGGCAGAAACGCTGCCTCGAGCTCAACTAATTTTGGGAATAGTTCCGTTTATCTCATTGCGTGAGAATTGGCCGTTATCGTCGTAGCCAGATGTCCATTATCACGGACTTCTCACGACGGGTCATCGTGAGAAAAGAAAAAATCTCGACGTCTACCTCGTACTGGAACAAGTATGGAAAACCACGGTATATTTTGATAACGAATCATCGTCGTTCATGTGTTAGCAACGCTTAAAAGAATGGTCCTTAATTGGTGGAAGGAGGAAGAGAGGCAATCCTCAACGGAAGGTATACGATTTTAAAGATATAATTTATTATTCGCTGAGTGTAACATTCTATACACGGTTTCGTTCTTCTATTAAATCTTGATAGGGAAATGTATGTTTTATTGTGATTTTTCCTAGCTGAATCGTAATAGAGATTAGGTGTCATAAATTACAGTTGATCAATTAACCCGATACTTGGATTCATAAATCTATTTACAAAGAAAAGAAGCAATAGCCGTCTAACTTTTAGCGGGAAATATTTAAAATAACATGGGTGGCGCCATCGGTGGCAAAACGCCCAAGTTTGTTGCCAACTAGTTTCCCAGTCCTATTGTTAGATGGCGATAGGGGTTGCACTTTATAAATTACAGGGATCTTCTAAAAAAAAATACCGTGGCGCCATCCGTAACAAAATACGTAAGTTTATCGCCAAGTAGTTTCACAGTTTTGTTAGTAGATGGCGATAGTTATTTTTTATAAAAATTACAGGAAAAAAAATTCGTGGCGCGATCCGTGACAAAACGCTCAAGTGTATCGTCAAGTAGTTTCACAGTTTTGTTAGTAGATGGCAGTATGTGTTTATACTTGTAGCGATCTGTTGTTTTCCTTGTATTGTCAATCAACGATCGGTTCGTTTAGCAACGGTATGTCCTATCAGAAATACCTTAACGATCCATTCACTAATTAATCTGCCTGTTCATTGAATTGATAACCCTATCAAAAAATTTAAATAACACCATCTAGGACTTCATTTGCGCAACAGCACACAAAATCTACCCGGCCCTGGTGTGAAGAACGGGTCGTGACTTCTCCTTAGCTTCCCAATGAATCAGTGTCAACGAATATACACAAATTTCGTGTTCAATTATCGCAGCAAATCACTGTACACGTGGTTACAGTTTCAGTTGCAACAAATGTGTAAATAATGCGAAAGAACAGTGACTCATAAATTAACAATCAACTTGTATAGCTTACCGTAATTTTCATTAAGAATTACAAGGATCCCATCGACGAAACACACAGTGTACAATTCCACGTTTCTTTCCCAAACGGGTATGAACTAACAATGAGATGATTGCCTTTGTTTTCACATAATAAACGCTACTTTTTTTAACAAAATATATCACTTTACACGAAAAATTTTACTTGTCAATCCTGCTTCAATTTCGATTAATAGATCAAAGACAGTCGGCGAAAAAAATATTATACTCCTACCTCCTTTAACTCGAGAACTGGAATGAGCTTCAAGGAATTATTATGTCCCCGTAAATAGAACAGTGCTGTAACAAAATGATTCATAACCCTACTCCTGGTCAAATCAGACGTAAATCTTTAGTACAACGTTCTCTTCTTGACGCTCCGTTTTAGGTTAATTTTTAACAAAATGCTCTGTTACAATTCGAAAATAAACATGATATTTCACGACTGATCAATCACTTTATCAAGAGTGTGGACCAGTAACCTTAACCGAGACCATATACGGACTCTCACAAGAATCATATTAATCAATCCCACTGTTCTGCGTATTTTTTTCATTCATAATCGCAAACAGATTGTACTACGTAGTAGATCGAATAACAATGAATATTTACGTACAATTTTTTGCGAGGTTAATAATTCCGCTGTTGTATTGTTGATAGACACCTACGCTTATGGAAATTTCATGGTACGGTCTGCTTACGAGTCATTTGGGGCGAACATTATTTAAAAAATCATTCTGTCGCACATGATTTTACACGCAAGAGTTTGAATTGAATTAAAAGTAGTAAGGATAAACAATAGATAGATGATCGTGCTGAGTGGGAGAAACAGTTTTCTTCTCCCAACAGGGTAATATCCATCAGGAGAACGACTTATCAGAGTAGACCATACTAATGGTCCACGAATACCGAAGAGGTCAGCACTATTCCCAACGTACGGTTCGCCACGTTGGAAGAACTTGACGGCTGACTGCTGCTTGTTTGACGTTAGAGGTTTCTTTCGGTACATTTCGTTCGGTTATTGTTAATTAAATACGTTAAGGTGAGAAAATGTCGTTTAAAAGGATCGTGTGTCTTCTATTCTGTTTACGATAATGGTACAGCTCGTACGTAACACGTGTTACTCACGTAACAATTTGAGATATCAGTAGGTCGCTGAACTTTCGAATTATATACAATTCATTTGTAATGTTATTTACGATTATACAGTTTGTAACATAACGTGTTATCTTAACTAAAAATCTATGATACGATGAATATTCGAATGTATCGTTGTGTGCTGATAATTAGGCGTGATCGTTGTTTAGAATAGTTCAGATAAATTTTAGAAACAAGCAAGTATGAATCAATGATAAAATACAATACACAGTGCATTATTTTTAACTTGCTCTGTTTCTTGCAAAAAAAAGTGCTCATGATATTTGTGCTGCAGCATACCAAGGATGAAGGTGAAGGAGTTATTGAAGACAGTCAATGTAGCATGGTCACCACCTGCTCAGCATCCCATATTATTAGCTGCAGGAACTGCAGCTCAACAACTTGATGCAAGTTTTAACACATCTGCCAGCTTGGATATATATTCGTTGAATTTACAACAAGCAGGATATGATTTGGAATTGAAAGCCACTATTGCAAGCGATCATAGGTAGAACATATATCTTTTATGTGTAATCAAGTGTTATCTAATAACTACTACAGTTTTGTATATGTATGAAATTTTTTAGATTTCATAAAATAACATGGGGTGCATATGGTAATAGTCCATCTGGTATAATTGTTGGAGGCTGCGATTATGGCACAATAAAGATTTATTCGGTGGCCAAACTGTTGGCTAATGATAATAATTGTTTAATAAGCAGTCCAGACAGACATACAGGTCCAGTCAGAGCATTGGACTTCAATCCTTTCCAAACTAATTTATTAGCAACAGGAGCAACTGACAGTGAAATTTATATATGGGATATTGTTAATACAACTACTCCAATGACTCCTGGTTCTAGGAGTCAACCATTAGAAGATGTACAATATATTGCATGGAATAAGCAAGGTTCTCTTATTGTATACAAAATATCACATACTTGTGTGAATTAAAATTAATGGTTCATTATTCTCTCTTTTGTAGTGCAACACATTCTTGCTTCCACATTTTCACAACGATGTGTCATATGGGATTTAAGAAAAAATGAACCCATAATCAAGCTAACAGATACAAATTCCAAAGTACTTTTAATTATATTTTTGTTGAATTTCTTCTTTTTTTAATATTACAGTCTGTATAATTGCAATGTTATGAATAAAGGTACGATGGAAAGTAGTCCAGTGGCATCCAAATGTTGCAACACAATTGTGCTTAGCATCAGAAGATGATCAAGCTCCTGTAATCGAATTATGGGACTTAAGGTTTGCAACATCACCATTAAAAATGTTCCAAAATCACCAGCGCGGCGTTTTATCGATTGCTTGGAATCCATGTGATCCAGATCTACTCTTGAGTTGTGCCAAAGATAACAGAATATTATGTTGGAATCCTAATTCTGATGCACCAGTATGTTTATTAGTTACATTCTAATATTCAAAGTTGTATTTTGTATACTTAATTTGTTTCTCTTTTTTTTATTCACAGAATGGTGAAGTGATTTGTGAGTTAGCCCAAACAAACCAATGGAATTTTGATGTTTCATGGTGTCCAAGGCATCCAGGATTAGTTGTTGGAACCAGTTTCGACGGACACGCGGTAATTTATTCCTTATTGGGAGGACAACAACAAATGTCTATGGAAACATCAAACAAAATTGTAGACTCTTTTCCTGGAATGGACCCCTTTACTCAACCACCTTCTGTAATGCAATCAGAACCAGCAGTTATATTGACAAAAGCTCCCAAATGGTTAAAAAGACCATTTGGGGCTTCTTTTGGTGTAAGTATTCGTATCTGATGTAGATAATCATTTTACTACTTGTACTGCAAACATTCTATAAAAACGGAAATATTTTTTTAGTTTGGTGGTAAATTGATAATATTTGAAAATGAGCCTATAGATCCGAATCTACCTGCAAATTCAAATAGAAAAGTTATTATATCCCAAGTGATAACGCAACCAGAATTAATTCAACGTTCCAAGGAATTAGAGGACGTTCTTAAAACTGAACAATATAGCGATTACTGTAAAGAAAAGGCTGAGAAAACAACCGATGTACATAGAAAGAAAATATGGAATTGTGTCGGGGTATATTTCGGTGAAAATGTAGCAAAAGAAATATTAGAATTACTGGGTTATGACATAGAAACAATGAATAATAAATTAAATCAGTTGGTCCCACGAGAAGATATTAACAACATTACGGAAGGTGTTGGTAATCTTAATAATGTAAGTTTCATTTATTTGTTATAAATAATAAAATACGTTTTGCGCATCATAAAATATAATTCCTTTAGGTATTGAATGGAAACGTTATAAATGGAAGTGCGGCATTTGATGCCATTGCACAAGATCAAATTAACAAGGCAACCACGGTTACGTCAATAAATAACAATTTTCAATTAAACGTGTCCGATGGTAATTGCATATGTACTTTAAAGTGATCAAATTTTTTACTTTCCATTGTGACTTGTTAAGATTTAATAGCTTGATTTAATGTATTACAGATGAGGATGGGCTTATTACTCAAGCGATCCTCTTAGGAAATATTGAAGCTGCTGTGTCTTTATGTTTTGCCAACAAAAGGTACGCAGATGCAGTCATTCTTTCAATGGCCGCTGGACCTGACTTACTAGCACGTACCCAGTACAGATACTTTTCAGAACATTCTGGAGCTCTCAATTCTCTTATCAATTCGTTAGTTAGTGAAAACTGGGCTGAAGTTGTTAATAATACTGACATAAATTGCTGGAAAGAAGTATTAATTGGAATATTTACCCATTCGAATCCACAGGAGCGATCCACTTTGTGCGGTATGAATTGAATTATACATTTATCGCGCGAGTAAAAATACTGAATTCGTAAATATTTTTATTTCTTTGGATGTTACAGATATGCTTGGAGATCGTTTGGCGTCATCTGATAATCCAACTCATAAAGAGCAAGCTCAAATTTGTTACATCTGTTCCGGAAATTTAAACAAAATGGTAGAATCATCCAATGTTGATATACAAGAAGTAGTCGAATTGGTAATGATAATGCAGAAAGCCTTGGAAATGCAAGGTATTAGAGAAACTCAAATAGAAGGAAAAATTGCTAGCGTTTTGTCTCAGTATGCGGAAATGTTAGCATCAGAGGGAGACCTTGATGCTGCATTAAACTATCTCGGAAATAGTCAGGATGAAAAGATTGTCATGTTAAAAGATCGTCTTTATAGAGCGTTAGGATATATCGAAGAATCAAAAGGCGTGGCAAAAACGCCAGCAATGCAAAATTATTATGCTCAACCGAGAAGATCTTTGCAGAATCCACAAAATCCGTTACTTGCTTCAAGAGAACAAACGAGATCTTTCATCGATCCTAACATCGCTCCCGCAAAACAACCTTTGGCCTCGTCTACAAATCAGTTCCACACTCAACAGCCACAACAATCTTTCGGGTTATCCCCTCTTCAGCCACATGTACAATCCTCTATGCAATACGATCAGTACCAAACGTCTCATTACACTCCATCATCCGTTTCTCAACCACCTCCTTTACCACCTCCTACAACGGGATCAAGTGGAATCGGTTCACGACCACCAAGCGCCGGGCCTCAAGCAAGATCGAAATACTTAATAGATCCATCTGTAAAATCTACTGCAACATATGGTCAAACTGGGTTTCCTCAACAAACAATGTCATATAATCAGCAAATGTCTCCAATGACAGGCTATACGCCTTCGAATACGTATCAGCCTCAGGTTCCTATACCAGGAAACACATATCCTGGACAAAACTTTACGACCGGTCTGCAAGAATCAGAACCATTTAAACCTGTTCAACCTAGTGGATTACCGCCATTACAGAATCTACAGCAAAATCAGATGTATGATCCAATTAGAACACAACCTGTTTCTCAAGCTTATGGAAACGAGAGTGTCTATAAACCATCACTACAATCTGCAGGGTGGAATGACCCACCAGTTGCGAAGTCTAGAATACAAGTAGGTATCTTCTAATCTTTCGTATATTAGTAATAGTATAGGTCGGCGTTCGCGATATGTTGGTAATTTGTTTCGCGCCATGTTTTTGATTAATGAAGTGTTTATGAACCTTGTACTGATGATATATGTATATATATCCAAATGATACAGCCAGTACTGGCATTATACACGAAAAATGAAATGTCTGCGGAACATGCCGGTACCAGGAAATGGAAAGCAAAACATTCGAAGAATGTGAACATGAAGGTAGAAAATTGCGAGATT